CGCTTGGGCAGTGGGCGTGGACAAATAAAGAAGAATCGAGGGTATCGTTACCAGTTGTTACGGAGATGCCAGAGCCAGATTTGGCTTTGATATATACGGGATCCATGCCATGACTACGAGCTATCTACAGCCGTCGTCCAAGGCATGAGCTTCAGATAGGTGCCTTAGTAATCGGGATAGGTGTGTGAGAGCTGTAGCCTTAAAGAGGTGCAACCGTATATTTTCGACAGCTGCCTTTTTGGCCTGCCCTTGATTCCAGACGCTCCGCCAGGCCGCGCCTGAATTGAGTGCTCGGTTCGATACAACTCTCCGGAAGCGAGCACATGCACCATGCCAGGTTGCGCGCGGAACCATAGCGCAGAGCAAACATAGTACAGGGGTCTTGCCTGCTGAGTAAATACGTTGTCCAGGTTATAGACATTTTCCTTGCTGTCAGTGAATGGGGAAGCCATCTGAGCTTTGCTGGATGGGGAGGGCTGACGACGCGGTCGCAAGCGCGCAACAATAGTGGTTTGTGCCGAAATGACACCAATCACTTCCAATAATTATTGGGCAGCTAGTAAGGCTTTTTTGGCCTGCCCTTGATTCCAGACGCTCCGCCAGGCCGCGGCTTGGAAGCAAGGGAACAGCCTTAGTGAACACCCCGGCAAATTTAACAAGTTTTCGCGTGAGCTTTTTGGCATCTTTTTCGTGCAAAAGGTTTGGAATTTGATTGTGTATATGCAAGTCACAAAGACAACCTGCGATGTGGCTCCAAGTCAAGAGCGATTGTTATGAGTGGAGAGGAGTTTCTAGCTGCAGCGTTCGTCACATAATCATTGCACAGGTGTTTGTTGTATTGTGATGTTAAAATAATGATGTGTATATGGGTGAGCAGTGATATTGGCCTGTGTCGTACAAAGTACAAAACAAGTTACAAACCAGACCGAAGCGATCTCATGGCCTGCCCAAATGGGTGTGTAGCATGGGGGGGTGACGGTGTGGTGGGGTGGTTGGGTGCGTTTTCGCGGCTGTTTATGATGGCGGTGTGTGGGAGTCATGCTTGGGTGGGTAAGGTGGCGGGCTGGGGGGCTGACGAGGCTGCTTAGGAGAGTGGCGCATGGGTGTCCCGTTTGGGAGGGTCAGATGGCTGCGTAGGGTCATATGAGGGAGGCGTTTACAGCGTCGAGGGGCATGCCTGGATAGTGCGAATTGGCATATTGCACCAGCAAGCCCGGCGTCTGCGGCCCTCAGGGGCAAGCCGTCTTGCTAAGCAGGGTCGCAATTGCGTTGGCAACTCGAGGGTATCATAGGCGTGCACAGTAACTGACGCACGGTCCTAGGTATCAGTTGCCCTCGCTGTCACCCTCATTCGAGCACAGGGATGGGGTGGGAATGGGTTGGCAAGGGGAGTCACGGGGAGAGAACAATAAAGGCATGGAAGCTAAAGGATGGCGTGGGCAGGGAAAGGGATAGGAAAGCAAGAACAGGGTTGGTGGTGAAAGGAAAGCGAGGAAAGGTAAGGCAACAGGAAAGTAGGGGTGGGGAGGACAGGGCGGTGGCATGGCTTGCATAGGAAAAGTGTATTGAACCGTGGAGGCTATAACATCCAGAGAGGCTGAGTTTGGGAGCCAAGCTTTGGCAGGGGAGGGGAGGGGATGGAGATCTGCAGGCTTCCTCTGCTGCTTCAACTGTAGTGTAGGTGCACCTCTGCACTCCACTGCGTTTGTCATATGCTGGCAGAGCCTCATCGCCAAAGTTGTCTTCTTCTATGTGGGCAGGGGTTTGTGGGTGGCATTCAGAGCATGTTGGGCTAGTATTCAGTGGTACGCTCTCTTCGGTGCAGCATTCCTCCAGCACCTTTTCTGAAATGCACTCATAATAAACAACGTACCCATACCGCTCTCCTTTTGAGCAGTGCTTGGAACATTGTCACCTTCGTTTGTGCGACGGAGCAATGTCGTCAGTGAAACAGTGGCTACCTTCAAACAGTTCACTATGAGCGACCGTACCTTTTTGACTTTGTTCCTTCCGCAGTCGATTCCGCACCATGCCTACAGTGATACTGGGCCGCCCCATTTCCTGCAGCAATGTCTTTGGCGACGCTTCCTTCCCAGTAGCCACGATAGTTTGTAATGCTTGTTTATACGTCAAGCCCTTCAAGCGCGTGTCGGAGCACACTTCGTCATACAATAGCTTGGCAGTAAGTTTCAGTCCGCTAGGAGCAATAGTCTCGGCTGCTTTACACAGAGCCTCAACTTCATATGTTTTCATGCATTCCCTGGCCATTGTGTGTATTGAGTAAGGAAGGCAATACCGAAGCCATTGGTGTCGGCCCTATTAAACTACGCTGCTGGCCTTACCGCGACAACAACCTAACGGATACCAACATGTAGCATCGACATCCGGTATCCGTTAGGTTGTTGTCGCGGTAAGGCCAGCAGCGTAGTTTAATAGGGCCGACACCAATGGCTTCGGTTTTGCCTTCCTTACTCAATACACACAATGGCCAGGGAATGCATGAAAACATATGAAGTTGAGGCTCTGTGTAAAGCAGCCGAGACTATTGCTCCTAGCGGACTGAAACTTACTGCCAAGCTATTGTATGACGAAGTGTGCTCCGACACGCGCTTGAAGGGCTTGACGTATAAACAAGCATTACAAACTATCGTGGCTACTGGGAAGGAAGCGTCGCCAAAGACATTGCTGCAGGAAATGGGGCAGCACTTCCATTCAACTCCTTTACGACAGCGCCCGCTGTTACTTTTCTGTTGGTGGATTGTAGCGTGAGCACTGCTTCCTGAAATGCTGCTTCCTCGTCCGGAGTCCACTTTGCACGCTTCTTCGAAGGCTGAGTGGTAGCGTTGGGCCTAGGCCGGATATACTTTTGCACGGCTTTGTTGTATTTCAAAAAGCTGAGAACACGTTTATACGTCAAGCCCTTCAAGCGCGTGTCGGAGCACACTTCGTCATGCAATAGCTTGGCAGTAAGTTTCAGTCCGCTAGGAGCAATACTCTCGGCTGCTTTACACAGAGCCTCAACTTCATATGTTTTCATGCATTCCCTGGCCATTGTGTGTATTGAGTAAGGAAGGCAATACCGAAGCCATTGGTGTCGGCCCTATTAAACTACGCTGCTGGCCTTACCGCGACAACAACCTAACGGATACCAACATGTAGCATCGACATCCGGTATCCGTTAGGTTGTTGTCGCGGTAAGGCCAGCAGCGTAGTTTAATAGGGCCGACACCAATGGCTTCGGTATTGCCTTCCTTACTCAATACACACAATGGCCAGGGAATGCATGAAAACATATGAAGTTGAGGCTCTGTGTAAAGCAGCCGAGACTATTGCTCCTAGCGGACTGAAACTTACTGCCAAGCTATTGTATGACGAAGTGTGCTCCGACACGCGCTTGAAGGGCTTGACGTATAAACAAGCATTACAAACTATCGTGGCTACTGGGAAGGAAGCGTCGCCAAAGACATTGCTGCAGGAAATGGGGCAGCACTTCCATTCAACTCCTTTACGACAGCGCCCGCTGTTACTTTTCTGTTGGTGGATTGTAGCGTGAGCACTGCTTCCTGAAATGCTGCTTCCTCGTCCGGAGTCCACTTTGCACGCTTCTTCGAAGGCTGAGTGGTAGCGTTGGGCCTAGGCCGGATATACTTTTGCACGGCTTTGTTGTATTTCAAAAAGCTGAGAACACGTTTATACGTCAAGCCCTTCAAGCGCGTGTCGGAGCACACTTCGTCATGCAATAGCTTGGCAGTAAGTTTCAGTCCGCTAGGAGCAATACTCTCGGCTGCTTTACACAGAGCCTCAACTTCATATGTTTTCATGCATTCCCTGGCCATTGTGTGTATTGAGTAAGGAAGGCAATACCGAAGCCATTGGTGTCGGCCCTATTAAACTACGCTGCTGGCCTTACCGCGACAACAACCTAACGGATACCGGATGTCGATGCTACATGTTGGTATCCGTTAGGTTGTTGTCGCGGTAAGGCCAGCAGCGTAGTTTAATAGGGCCGACACCAATGGCTTCGGTATTGCCTTCCTTACTCAATACACACAATGGCCAGGGAATGCATGAAAACATATGAAGTTGAGGCTCTGTGTAAAGCAGCCGAGACTATTGCTCCTAGCGGACTGAAACTTACTGCCAAGCTATTGCATGACGAAGTGTGCTCCGACACGCGCTTGAAGGGCTTGACGTATAAACGTGTTCTCAGCTTTTTGAAATACAACAAAGCCGTGCAAAAGTATATCCGGCCTAGGCCCAACGCTACCACTCAGCCTTCGAAGAAGCGTGCAAAGTGGACTCCGGACGAGGAAGCAGCATTTCAGGAAGCAGTGCTCACGCTACAATCCACCAACAGAAAAGTAACAGCGGGCGCTGTCGTAAAGGAGTTGAATGGAAGTGCTGCCACGTACCATCAAGTGCACTACCGACTTCGGCAGTTGGCGAAAACTCAGCGTCTTCTACGTTCATCAGAGGATAATGGAAAGGTCAGCAACAATAGCGGTGTGGAGGATGGTGACATTGAGGCTCCGATGGGGAGGATGAGGGAGACGATGGCACGGATAGCCCCAGCGATGACTCGGATGAGGGTGGCAGCGAGGGCAACTGAGACCTAGGACCGCGCGTCAGGTACTGTGCACGCCACCGATACCCCCGGGCTGCCAACGCAATTGCGACCCTCCTTATTGGCAAGACGACTTGCCCCTGAGGGCCGCACACGCCAGGCTTGACGGTGCAATGAGCCCATTGGCCCTGTGTTGGCCTGCCGCTCGACGATGTAAACGCCTCCCTCATGTGTCCCTACACCGCTGCCAACTGACCCTCCCAAACGGGACGCCCAAGTGACACTCTCCAAAGCAGCCACGTCAGCCCCCCCTCGTCAGCCGCCCTCGTAAACGGCCGCAAACACACACCCAACCACGCACCCCGCCGCACCGTCAGCCCGCCATGCCAGCTACACAACCATTTGGGCAGGCCATGAGATCGCTTCGGTCTGGTGCAATACAACAAAGCCGGGCAAAAGTATATCCGGCCTAGGCCCAACGCTACCACTCAGCCTTCGAAGAAGCGTTCAAAGTGGACTCCGGACGAGGAAGCAGCGTTTCAGGAAGCAGTGCTCACGCTACAATCCACCAACAGAAAAGTAACAGCGGGCGCTGTCGTAAAGGAGTTGAATGGAAGTGCTGCCACGTACCATCAAGTGCACTACCGACTTCGGCAGTTGGCGAAAACTCAGCGTCTTCTATGTTCATCAGAGGATAATGGAAACGTCAGCAACAATAGCGGTGTGGAGGATGGTGACATTGGTGGGTTATTGGTTGTTTGCCAATATTTGCTAGTTGTGGGGCATTGACAAAGGTTCTATAGCTCCGGCCTTCATTTGTGCGCACAAACGTTGGATAAGCCTTAGTGCACACTTGCTGCTTGAGATACATAGATGACGGAGTTTTGGGTTCGCGCCATGCCCTTTCAGATGAAGACGAACCCGGCACCGAGAACGAGGCAGATGTGGATTCCGACGGCCTTGGGCTCCCGACCACCAGCACGCACTCGTGTGTCGAAGCTGCTGAGAAGACGTGCAGAGAAGCGTTCTCCCAAACCTGCTCGTTCGCATGCTGCTGCTGTGAGCGACGTCTGTTCAAACATTCAGTGGTAGAGGTCACGGATACCATGTATGACACCCTCAGCGAAGTGTGGGCAACAAACCTTGCAGGATGGGTAGCCCGAACTACATGCTTAAATAGAATCCGTAGTAGGGTCACCCGCGCGCCGCCCTCATGCAACCAGCCACACAACTATCACCCACCACCCCACACGTCCACTTGGGCAGGCCATGAGATCGCTTCGGTCTGGTTCAACCTCTTGTAAACGCAGGTTTGTTACGTCTGTCAACGCCTCAAGAGCACACGTATGATGACGCTGCCTTGATTTTACCTTCTTGGTCGACGTCGGTTGTCAGTTAGTTAGGGAGTTGTCACTTGCTGTTAAACAATTGGAGATTATCACCCGTCGGAAGACGCACGGCTAGATAGGGTTGAACTTTACTGTTAGCTTGAATAAAGGGCTGTACCGGTGACGGAGCAGCAACTGTCCAGGTTTGGGTATAGGACGGCAGAACGAGAAGAGGTCCAGCGGCCGTCAGCAGAACACTTGGAAGGGTTAGGTCTATAACAGGAATCGTACGCGTATGTATTACTCCGGGGCCGAAGCACTCGTCCACCACGATGTAATGGGCACGACTCGGACCGGCAGCGACAGCGATAGGGCCACGCTGGGGATCAACAGGGGTCTCAAAAATAACACCGCTTATACGGGCGAGATAGGGAAACTCCCTCGTAACTGTAGGCGTAGACTCAGCAGCCAGGGTTCAGGGAACTTGCCGTATGGCCACCTGCACGTTCGGTTATGTTATAACTAGGTAAGACGACGCGAACGGAGACCAGTTGGGTGAGCGTCGCAGTTAGATAGATTGCCAGAGGGCACTGAAGGGTCGCTCTTTCGGAGCAGTAAGCTTGGATCAAGCTGTAGTGGTAAAGTACCTGCAGTAATCCTGCAAGTATAGATTGTTATCAAGCCAACAACGGTTAGCTGAAGAAGCGGCGGGTGCAAACAGATAGTCTTGAAGTATCGGTAGGTCGTGATCGTGCAAGGCGAGTGTTAGGGAGCGGAAAGGCTCGATTATATCACTCAACGGTTACACGATTATTAGCCCGAGCTGGGCGCTCAGCACAGGAGTAGTCCAGCCCAGCGAGGGCTGGATACGAAGTCTGGGGACAAAGTCCAACACAGAGTCGCAATAAATATCACAATGTCCAACACAGGACAATAACGGGTTAATGGATACGCCGACAGGCACTCAGAGCCTGCACAGCAACAGAAAGGCTCGGCCAATGGCCAATCAGAGCCGGTACCAGCGGCTCCACACAACGTTCACGTGGCAGTCAAGCCAACTAGATTAATCAGAAGTCGGAAACACGATAAATGGGGCACTTCAGGCCCAACGTAGTAGTCAGTCAGGAAACAGGGCACTTAGCCAAAGTCGTCGGATATCACACGTCCGGGGGCGCGGAACGTACCCTCAGGCTTAAGTCAACTGAGTAGTGAATCGTTAATCAACACGACACAACAACACGCCTTTTATAATAAAAGACGACGAACATGTCATACACTCCAGAACCAACCTCCAGAGTATTCCAGACACTCCAGAGTATTCCAAATGTCAGACATATACGCAACGAATAGACTCGAACATTCCATCCGACATCCAAGCGTAAGCCACGAATAGACTCGAACATTCCATCCGTCATCCAAGCGTAAGCCAACTGTAATAGTACAACGACCAACCGTCCAACCAGTCAGACAAAGGACAAACACGTCAGACCGTCTAGAGGCATCCACACGCGTTAATCCTAAGTCAGCTCTCTTAGTCAGATCAGCTCAGTCATAAGGAGGCATCACGGCCTCTCAAGGTCTTGATCATCTTGTCTCCAGGCTCCAGCCAGCCAAGCCTCCTCTCCAGCAGCATCTCCTCACATGTCGCCCTCCTAAACCATGCGAGTAAGGATAATACGCCATAGTAAGCTCTCCAGCCGATGATAGACAGCCGTGTTGGTTGGGGTGTTTTGTTGCCACAGCTGTAGCTTCCCCTGCTGACAACCGCCCGTCCCTTGGGTGGTTCCTCTCACAATCCCCATCCACTTGCGCGGTCCAGCTTTCGGCGGAAGTAGGCCTTGATCATGGGGCGGTGCTCCTCACAGAAACCCATGAACAGGTGGATCTTCGTCGCCCGAGCTCTTGGTAAGGTCGAACGGTTGAGGGGTGTCCCGTGGGTCGGTCTTTTTAGATTAGGCGGGGAATCCATGCGCCATAACATCTCCCAGCGTTTCTCCCCGCGCTCTTCCTCATCCGAAGAAAGGTAATTCATGCGATAAGCTTCTGTCATTCCATCAGTGAGGTACAGTTCCACCATAAGCAGCCCATCACCAGTGACAGGGTCCTCCGGACCATTCTCAATCTCCATACGGCTCAGTCCGTCCGCCACTCCATTAGCGATGCCTGGGCGGTATTGTATCTCCATGTCGTATCCTTGTAGTCGCATAGCATACCGCGCTAGCTTACCCGTAAGCGTCTTAGACGTTAGTAGGTACTTAATGGCCGCACAATCCGTCAGCAGTGTGAAGCGGTTGCCCCACAGGAATGAGTGGAAGTGCGTCACTCCCCAGACGGCGGCAAAGGCCTCACCGTCAATAGCTGCCCAATTAAGCGCGCTTCCTGTTAGCCGCTTTGATGCCCAGGCAACCACATACTCCCTTCCTTCGTTGTCCCGCTGCGACAGGCACGCGGCGACGCTATTCTTTGACCAGTCGACGGCCAGGATGAAGGGGCGTTCCCAATCCGGGGCACGAAGGATGGGTTCAGACACTAATGCCTTCTTGAGTCGGTCGTACGCTGTCTGCTCCGCCTCTCCCCACTGGAACGGGGTATTTGTCGAGGTGAGCCGGTACAAGGGACCCGCAATTGAGGCATACCCCATGATGTAGTTCCTAAAGTAGCCCGTCACACCCAGAAACGCCTTGACTTGGCGCGCACTCTTGAGCTCGGGGTATTTGGCGATGTTGGCTAGGTGTTTCTTAGCGGGTTTAATGGTACCGCTCCTTCCATCGATCTCGTGTCCCAGGAAGGTAATCACCTGCGAACCGCACTTGAACTTGGATAAGCTGATCTTGAGGTTAGCAATGCGCAGCAGCGCAAAGACCTTGTTTAGGTGCTCCACATGTGTCGCAATGTCGTCACTGAATACGGCAATGTCGTCAATCCAGTAGCACGCGAACTCCAACAATGCCGGCCTTAGCACGAAGTGTACTAAGCGGGCAAACACAGCCGGGCTACACTTAAGCCCCATGGCTTGTACTGTAAACTGGTATAGTCCTCCCATGCCCAAGCCGGTTCCAGGGACCGCAAAGGCTGTCTTCTCCTTGCTGGCTTCATCCAAAGGAATTTGCCAAAAGCCAGACTTGAGGTCAATGCAACTGTAAACCCGTTGCTTCGGTGGATTTGGGGTTAACCGGTGAATTAGCTCCTCTACATGACCCATGGGCCACTGAACGGAATTGGTAACCAAGTTGAGCTGACGAAAGTCTTGAACGCATCGCCATGTGACCTCCCCGCCGCCCTCAGGTACCGGCTTGGGTAGCATCATGACGGGCGCCGCCCATGCAGAGGTGCTGGGCTCCACTATGCCATCTTCCAGCATCCGTTGGACCTCCTTATTCAAGGCCTCCAACTCTTTTCGCGCCATACGGTAAGGTTGTACGGCAATGGGTGCCGCGTCTCCTGTGTCGATGTTCATCTCAACCCAATTGTTCCGTCCCAACTGAGCATTGGTTAAAGCAAACATATCTGCGTTGTCTAGCAGACACTTGCGCAGCAGGGCCTGCTCAGGCTCCGGTAGGTCGGTGTTGACTTTGGTCAACAACGCCTCCTTGATTTCAGGGTCCACAACACGTCCCTTAGCAAGCGTTTCTGCGGCATAGCGCATAGCAATATCCAGATGTTCCTCTGGAGTTAGTCGCATGACGTATCTGAAGTCCGGGATGGGGTCGCGGTACTTCACTACAGGTGGGAGCCCCTCCTTAGGTTCCGGGCTCTTGGGTGCTTCTGGGCTTGCACCATCAGTAAGGTAGCCTTCCACGGCTCCAATCCGCATAGTGGGGTACGTCCATTCATCATCGCTGTCCGAATCCTCTAATAAAGGTGGTGGCTTCTCGAAACCATCACTCTCCTGAGATGACTCCTCGCTCTCCTCCGTGTCAAACCCAGAACTCGGCACTGAGTCGATTACGGGCTCCTCCTGTTCCCCTGCTGTGTCTTGACGTGCCCCTTCAGGCATCATCTCCAAAAGGGCGACTTCACCGGCGGGTTCCCCTGCTGGAACTGGTACCCGGGGCTCCTGGGTGTCGTTAACATTATCCCCTCAGTCCGGCTGAGGTGAGTGCTCGAGCTGACAAGAGGAAACACTTGACCATTGTGACGCCGATACTTCCGCGTCGGTAAGCTCGCTTGTTCCTAGGGAAGATTCACACACTAGGTCCGAAACCGGGCTCTCGGTGTTTGAGTGTTCCTTCCTCTCCTCGTTGGTGAGGACATAGGGTGATAGCCCTTCAGCCTCCCGCTGCACACCGCCTAGCATAGCCTTGATGACCTCTTGCACCAAGGGTGAGGCTACTTGCTCCGCCGGCGTTGCACGGGTTGGTTGGGGCCTAATAGGAGTCTCATTACTCTGTGGCTCCGCAGCGGCGACTGCATCTCCTGAGAGTCGCATAAATGGGGAGTCCTTAATCTTGGTAGGAGCGGCGGGAGGACCAGTCGTTGACTTCGCATATCCTTCCTCCCCCACAGAGTCTGAGGACAGCTCTGGGATTGGGGACTGCAGCATGTACGCTTCCGGGTCTAACGCCGTCTCCGCATCGCTTGAACCACGGGACATGGCCTCAGCCTCCGCATGGTAAGATACCGCCTCTTGTCCGCGTAGGCAGCTAATGGTGATGTGGTTACGCATGTTCCTGTCGTTAGTGTACTCAAGCCTGTTGTTGTTATAGCAGATAGTCGCTCGAATGGGCCATAAGAAGTCGGTGCCCAGCAGAATGTGATAATTCTGCGCATAGCTGACATATGCGTCCAACGAGTAGCTTAGGTCGCCCAGTGAGACCTGTAGGCCT